CGGCCTCAGTTTTCGTTACAACAACACACTCAACCAAGCCTTACAGTCCACGAATACATTTAAAAGCTTCGCTATAAAACTTGACAAAAAAACCTCCACAAAAAGCGCCTTCATTTCGTTTGAAGGCAAATGCACACGCCTGCGCCATTGCAATCAGTTGTGCAAACCATTCGTTACCGGCTGACCATAAAAACCTGCATGGAAATACTGTTACTAAGATTGTATTTGCTTGCCTCTAGAGGCTGCCGTGCTGGGAAACTGTTGACATATTTTCTACTTGCATGAAGATAATATTATAGTTAGTAGGTACTTTTTTAGCTTTCAGCTGAGGTCTGTGATCACGTTACAAACTAGAATGCAAAGTCCTGGCATATTTTTAAACCTTTTTTGAACTCCTTGACTTGGCCGTTTGACACTGGCCACCAAGAAATAAAAAAACTGTAAGTATTCTTTTTTCACCGACGAATATTGTCGCGGACCGGTCTTGACGCACGGGAGGAGACGTGCGGGAGGAATCCCACCACCACGAGCAGCGCGCCGTCCGCCGAGCGCGCCACATTCGCTTGGGCCCCCAACCATACATAGAACGTACTACTCGATCGGACCTCCAACTCGCGATCGCCATTTTGTATCACCACGTCGTAGTTTAATACTTAAACCTAATTGTAAACGGCTATTAAACCAGCCTTATCGAAATACAGTCCACTCTTTCATTTAAGTTCCCAGTAGGACCCTTTTCATTGGTCCTTCTTCGCAAAAAGTCGCGCGATTAGGAAATAGTATCGGACTGTCGACGTACGCAAGATTTCAAGAGCTCTTCAGGGTGGTCTTCAGCAGCAAGATTTCTTCGGGAACCTGACAGGTCTTATCCCTGGTGAAGAATCCACGCATCGCAGCCACTGAAGCTCAAGAAAGAAGCTTTTTAGCCGATCGACCAACGAGTTGGACTTTGGACCCGTCGATTGTTCGAGGCGTAGCGAGGAAACGAACTTGGATCGGAAGCCGGTTTGGGTATTTTGTGAGTTCGTTCCAATTTATTTCCTTCTTTTTCCCTTTCTTTTCGCTACAGAATTGCTAATAGCCCAATTTAGTGAGTGCATATTTTCATTTCATTGCAATTTAATATCTTCTTCTTATTTCATACTTGTTTTATCAGTGCTTAAAGCTTACGTCAAGACCGTGCGAACGTCAAAGTGCATCTTGTAAATAAATTACGTGCACAAATATATTTATAGCCACCGGCCGGCTCGCACAGCTGTTCTTTTGTTCGCCCGAATCCTTATCGCACTGCTTGCCGCATTCTTTTGTCCCGTTAATTTGCATAAAGTAACCTTTCCATTCATAATTCTTATCTATATTTTTTGCCGTAGTTTCGTTATTTATTGATAATTTGGGCAATAGTTTTTGTTTTTTATTAATTAAGATGGCTCAATCAAAGGAACACGAAAGATTAACAAAGAAACGTAGCTGTTTGAAATCAAAATTANTACGTGCACAAATCTATTTATAGCCACCGGCCGGCTCGCACAGCTGTTCTTTTGTTCGCCCGAATCCTTATCGCACTGCTTGCCGCATTCTTTTGTCCCGTTAATTTGCATAAAGTAACCTTTCCATTCATAATTCTTATCTATATTTTTTGCCGTAGTTTCGTTATTTATTGATAATTTGGGCAATAGTTTTTGTTTTTTATTAATTAAGATGGCTCAATCAAAGGAACACGAAAGATTAACAAAGAAACGTAGCTGTTTGAAATCAAAATTAACTATTTTTCATAACTTCATTTCCCTTCTTAAGACTTGCACTGAACCTAGTCAGGAACAATATTTAGACCTGGAAGGGCGCTTAAACAAATTTGATGCCATATACCCTATTTTTGATGATTTGCAGTCTGACATCGAGATGCTTACGGAGGATTCCGACGCTGAAATGAAGGAACGCGAGCAGTTTGAAGACCAGTACCACAAGCTGGCCGCGGCCGCGCGGGGCTTGCTCAGCGCGCGTCGCTGCCAGCAGCGCGATAACGGTTCCGTTTCGAGCAACGATGATGTTCAGGCGAGTAATTCTCACTTACATAATTGCGTTCAACTGCCTAAAATTGACTTGCCCATTTTCCATGGTAATTATCAGCACTGGCTTAAGTTTAGAGACACCTTTATTTCTTTAATACACTCTAGACAAGATATGGATAACATAAANAACTTTTGTTCATTTTCTGCCTCTTTCTCCAATTCTGGCAAACGATACCTGACTGTTTTTACTATTTTCTTGCATTTCGTCACCAGACTTAAAACTTCGGATGTTTTTTTATTCTATCAACCGTAACTAAGTTATGGAGAGCGTGCCCTAGGCAAAGATCATCATCATCATCATTTCAGCCACAGGACGTCCACTGCTGAACATAGGCCTCCCCCATTGACTTCCACATCGCTCGGTTGGTAGCGGCCTGCATCCAGCGCCTTCCTGCTACCTTCATCAGGTCGTCGGTCCACCTTGTGGGTGGACGTCCCACGCTGCGTTTTCCGGTACGTGGCCTCCATTCCAGAACCTTGCTGCCCCATCGGCCGTCAGTTCTGCGTACTATGTGCCCTGCCCACTGCCACTTCAGCTTGCTGATCCGTCGGGCTATGTCAGCGACTTTAGTTCGTTTACGGATGTCCTCATTTCTGATTCGATCTCGTAAAGGGACACCGAGCATAGCCCTCTCCATAGCACGCTATGCAACTTTGAGCTTCTGTATAAGGCCTATATTGAGGGGCCACGTTTCCGAGCCATAAGTCATCACAGGTAACACACATTGGTTGTAGACTTTCGTCTTCAGGCACTGGGGTATTTTGGACGAAAAGATGTTGCGTTGTTTCCTGAAAGCTGCCCAGCCGAGTTGGATTCGACGATTAACCTCCTTCTCGAAGTTGGACCTACCTAGCTGAATCGTTTGTCCGAGGTAGACATACTTGTCAACAATCTCAAGAATCGAGCTCCCAACCGACACCGGGTAGGGCCGAGGGCGCAACGCAACATGGACGTTCGACATAAGCTTCGTTTTGTCCATGTTCATCCGAAGGCCTACCTGTTGGGAAACTCGATTAAGGTCTTCGAGCATGGTGCCGAGGTCCTCCAGCGATTCTGCCATGACCACGATATCGTCGGCAAACCGAAGGTGAGTGATGTACTCGCCGTTAACGTTTATGCCGTATCCTTTCCATTCCAGGAGTTTGAAAGCGTCATCCAATGCCGCGGTGAAGAGTTTCGGCAGTGTTGCCAGAAGGTTACTTTTGTAACCTTTTAGGTTACTTTTGAACTGCATTGGTTACTTTTAGGTTATACACTAATGAAAAGGTTACTTTTAGGTGATTTTCCAGAAATTGTAGAATTAACTTTTACAGGTTATTCAGTAAAAAATATTAATAGTGNTGCTCTAGAAGGTCTGTAATATTGGAAATTTTATTTATGTCTTACATGTTCCCATCAGGAGAAAATCGACTAAATAAACATTGGGCAATCATTCTAGACATGCGGGAGCATGTTAAGCCTAGTTCCAGGGAGGGGACTGCACCGTGCGTATATTTAGACGAACCACTTTGAGCCACTTTTGACTCCTCATCACTCAAAAAGTACTGTGCATTAACACTTCAAATTTGATTCATGTGTTGAGACTTGCAAGATATACATCAGTTTCAAATTTCACAAATATCCCTCAAACGGTTCTTTAGGTATTGACGTCCAAAAATCTACATGTTTGATCTATAGACCAAATTCTAACCACTTCCAGATGACATCGAAGGTTCAAATTTGGCATCCAGAAAGGTAGTTATGTAAATACAAAGGAACAAATAAAAAACCAGTAAATTTTAACATTTCACATGTTATAGATATATGTTAGTGTTCTAAATGTCGATTTTTGAACGTCAATACCTAAATAACCGTTTGAGGTATATTTATGAAATTTGAAGCTGATGTTTATCTTAAAAGTCTCAACACATGAGCCAAATTTGAAGTGTTAATGCACAGTAGTTTTTGAATGATAAGGAGTCAAAAGTGGCTCTAATTGGTTCGTCTAAATTNATTGTTGCAAATACCAAGGTGGGACAAAAATGACCCAGTGGCGCTTCTAGGTAAAACCGATTTTAATTTTTTTTCTAATAATGTTATATTATCAAAAATATTAAAAAATGATAAAATTCAATAAATCAGGAAAAGTCAAAAAGTTTCACGGACTTTCGTTGAAAAATAAAAAAGTTAGAGACGATCAAACTCGCGAGTGGGACAAAAATGGGACGGCGGCCTTTCTAGTGTTAAAATGTGTTTATGCAATTATTGATAGACGCCCTTATTGAATTGATATTGGAAGTCAGAAAAAGACTCCAATTGTGAAGGCGTCCTGAAAAGAAGCCGTTGATTTATTTCGCTCAGTGCATCTGACAGTCAATGTTATGACGATTAATTTATTTTAATTTGTCCTGAAAGAACGACCACCGAAGCGGTGGTGTTTATTCTCAATTCGAATAAAATAAATGGTCCTTAGTTGCCGCTGAAGTTTTAATAGAAAATTAGAAGGGCGAAAGAAGGATAGAGTGAATATAAAATATGTCATCACCTAGAAATATGACTATTCCTAGTTTTTGATCCATTCCCCGCTGTGATTCCTGTTTTCGTCATTATTAACTATAGCCAGTAAATTAGTAAAATCTAAGAAACAAAAATCAAGTTAATCCCAGAGTACCGATGCTTCTTTCGTCACTTTCATTGAATTCTGAACAATGAGTGGCATTTGTTATCTTTTACAATTTGTTCTAAATGATTTATTAAATTATACAGTCCGTTTTTCAGTTTTATCTCCTCTCCACTGCGGAAAGCACAAAAAAAGGCATTTACTTCTGTAATCTGTGTGTTTATCTGGCAGCTTTCATCTGATCCTTTTGACCTTTCCCCCCTTACTCCTGCTCATTTCTTAATTGGACGATCACTCATATCCATACCGCATCCGCAAATCATCNCCCCATTCTTAGACTCTAACGATATTATTCGTGTCGGCGGTCGCCTGAATAATTCCCCCTATACTTATGATGTTAAGCATCCTATTTTGCTTTGTAGTAAGCATCATTTTACTACAATTCTTTTTGATTATTTTCATAAAAAATATATACACGCAGGCCCCCAACTCTTACTTGCAAATATTAGACAGAATTATTGGCCGTTGGGTGGCCGCAACTTGTCAAAAAAATGTGTTCATAAATGCGTTCGGTGCTGTAGGTATAGAGCCAAAACTATTCAGCCTATTATGGGTCAATTGCCATCGTCTCGCACCGAACTAGAGTACCCATTCTTACATTGTAGTGTTGACTACGCTGGGCCAGTTCTGATAGCCGATCGGAAAGGGAGAGGTTGCAAACTCATTAAGTCATTTTTAGCCATATTTGTTTGCAATTCAGTTAAAGCCATACACATCGAGCTCGTTACGGCTCTGTCGAGTGAAGCTTACTTAGCCGCTTTAAATCGTTTTGTGTCACGTCGTGGCAAGCCTCAAAGCATCACGTCTGACAATGGAACTAATTTTGTTGGTACTTACAATGATCTTTCAAAATTCTTAATTCAGTCCGATGTTGAGGGCGTAATAGCTCAGGAGGGTATTGACTTCAAGTTTGTTCCAGCGTACAGTCCCCACTTTAACGGCTTGGCAGAGTCAGCTGTTCGTTCCACGAAGCACCACCTTAAGCGGCTGTTAGACGTCACTCACCTTACTTACGAGGAAATGTCTACGTGCCTCACGCAAGTTGAGGCTATTCTTAATTCACGTCCCTTGACCCAGCTTTCATCTGATCCTTTTGACCTTTCCCCCCTTACTCCTGCTCATTTCTTAATTGGACGATCACTCATATCCATACCGCATCCGCAAATCATAGACGATCACATAACTCGCCTTGACCGCTACAAAAGAATCGAGCACATCAAACAGCATTTTTGGCAACGCTTCTCGCTGGAGTACGTTAGTCAGCTGCAACAAAAGCTCAAGTGGCAAGACTCTAGGAGCGAGATAAAACTCGGCTCCCTTGTTCTCATTAAGGACCGTACTCTTCCTCCCCTGCTATGGTCGTTAGGAAGGGTAATCGCAACCTACCCTGGGAGTGATGGAATCGTCAGAGTCGCCGAGTTGAGGACAAAAAGAGGAACCATCCGAAGGGCCTTTAATAACATCTGCCCTCTTCCAGAACTTTGAAGCCTTCTTCAGCAGCCTTCAACCCGGGGAGCATGTCGCGGACCGGTCTTGACGCACGGGAGGAGACGTGCGGGAGGAATCCCACCACCACGAGCAGCGCGCCGTCCGCCGAGCGCGCCACATTCGCTTGGGCCCCCAACCATACATAGCACGTACTACTCGATCGGACCTCCAACTCGCGATCGCCATTTTGTATCACCACGTCGTAGTTTAATACTTAAACCTAATTGTAAACGGCTATTAAACCAGCCTTATCGAAATACAGTCCACTCTTTCATTTAAGTTCCCAGTAGGACCCTTTTCAAATATCGTTAGTCTTTTGTTTTTTCTAGCATCTTGACTCGAATACGACTCGATTTTGTAATTTATTGCCTCTTCCCGTTTTACTGCTTAACACAAAATAATAATGTAGGTACTTCAGTATTACATATCTACGAAACTACAAAGCTCGGATATATAGGTATACAAAATGATTTTGCGATGGGCTCAAAATCAGGTAGGTAATATTGAGCCACATATTTTTCATTTTCATTTCATTTGTTTACTTCTGTTCAAAGTTAATAAGCGTTCTCATTTCCTTTCTATTTTGTCAACTCATGATTACATTCGATTTATGCCACATGATTACATGCGACAGAACACTAAACTGAGTAGATATTAGGGTAAATAAACATAATATTATAGGAGATACTCCTAAAATTGCTTAAAATATACAGCAACTCTACCCCCGTTTGTATGCCGCCAGCCGTTCCCGGCACAACTCCGCTGCGCTTCAGAAGTTTCAAATGTATCTCGGCTCAACAAAAACTTGTCTCCAAACTATACGGGATAAACGAAAATAGAATTTCATTTTATTTTAAAGTTTACGGTAGTTCTCACCTCCTTTTTATCCAAGTGCGCAAGGGAGGGTTAAGTATTTATTGTCAGTATGTCTGTTCCTTTGGCGCTAAATTTTGTTGATTCTTATCAATCGAAAAAGGTAGTTTAGACAGGCCTCTCATTCGGTGGACTGACGATGACAATCGGTGAAGGTTGCGAAAAGCACTTGGATGCGGGCAGCGCAGGACCGGTCGTTGTAGAATTCCTTGGGGGAGGCCTTTGTCCAGCAGTGGACGTCTTTTGGCTGAAATGATGATGACTATGATGACCTGGATGACCTGACACCAGCAGCCCAATCCTCGTCGTTCGTTTCAGCCAAATGACGTCCACTGCTGGACAAAGACCTCCCTCAAGATTTTCCACAATGAACGGTCCTGCGCTGCCCGCATCCAGGCTCTTCCCGCGACCTTCACCAGATCGTCGGTCCACCAGTAGGAGGCCTGCCAACTGCCAATCCTCTTACCTATCTATAAACTATTTGACCTCGATTTGAAAAAATAAAACTAAAGAATATTTCAAACTAAGTCTCGTTAGTCACTCGAAATTAAAATTATGTCAACTCGCTCAAAAGGTTTTTCTTTATTAAAAGCGACTTAAATACTAAGTGCTAAATATTAAAAATCTCTCATATTTGACATAAACCCTTCAACATTGTTTGCGCCTCAGACTAGCGGATCAGGTTCAGCTGGGATAGGTAGTACTCGTACTCAATGAATAATTTTATATTTGAATTTAGACTATAACGTTTATTTGACGTTTACAATGGCAATCGAATGATATTTAACAAGTTAGGTAATGAAGTAAGTAGACGAAATTTATGTCATCGCGTTTTATACATGGAGGACAGCGCCATCTATCGGAGTACCGAAGAACTGTGCGGCACCGGTCGATGTATGTCTTGCTTAATCTGTGACGTGTCGTTTCTCCTCCAGTTGCCGCTGGATGGCGTTAGTGTTAACAACATTATCGTAAAACCTCTTGGCACTTAGCACTAAGTAATTGATTCTACGAAGCGCCGAAGGTAAGTTTACTCAAGTGTCTGATGGAAAATGTATAACCCTGTTTAACCGAGATGTACTTATAGTCTGGTCTAGATTGATGCTAAGAATTTGGTGGAGCAGCATCTGCCAAGACTAATTTATTAATGGTAAGTAGCAGTAACGTAACAAGTAGGTATACATTATACATATACCTATTGTATTACTCATCGATATACAATGTACTACGCAGATTTCGCGATACACTCGCTTTTTTTCAACTGAAAGTTACTTTACTGCAACTTTGCCATTTTGGTTGCCGAGAAACTATGTAGGTACATATAAGCGAAATAGAGCTGCATATTTTAATAGTAATTTAATGTTATTAAATTATTAGTGACATTTACAGACACATTGTAGCACGCTTTTAAATACTCGGACAAAAAATGCTTGCGCAGTCACGTTCCATATCATTTTGTGGCCCATAAGCGATGTAGATATATTTCCATAATGATAATTATAGAAAATCATTCACCAAAGCTTTAGAAATTCTACAAACTGTTATTTATTTTGTGCGGTAAAAGTATCTCTATTACAGATTACGGTTCCCAACATAGCCTAATATAAAGTAGAGTCACCTGAAACACTATTAAAACTGTGGGGAAAGCATTGGAAAATGCAGAAATGAAAAATCTGCATTCGCTCGCAATGTAGAATCAAACGGAATCGCTAATGGTCCTAATAATTCGATTTTTAATGGACAGATTTATTTTACCGTTGAGGATAGCTTTTAAAAGGTTTTGTCTTTGCATGCTCTTTTAAATGATTTTGTTATTGTGTACTGTATACTAGGTACGAGTAGACTTCTAAATATACATATAGTATAACTCAAAGGTGACTGACTGACTGATAAAGTGATCTATCAACGCACAGCCCAAACCACTGGACGGATCGGGCTGAAATTTGGTATGTAGGTAGATGTTATGACGTAGGCATCCGCTAAGAAAGGATTTTACGAAGCTCCACCCCTAAGGGGGTAAAACGGGATCCACGCGTACAAAGTCGCGGGCAGTCGCTAGTAAAAGATAAAATACTGTTTTCATTCAAATACCCACACACTCAGCAAGCATTAGATACCCAAACACATTAACGACTTACGTAAATCCGTAGCGAATTCATTAACAAATACCTAACAAGGCACACAAAAGATTCATGGACCCAAATGGCAAAGAGAGCTCTAGTTAGGTTTTGTTTTTGTTTCGGATTAGCCTGATTGTCCATTAGACCTAGGTATTTGGGACGAACATTTAGGAGGGAAGTCTAAATGTAATTAAAGTGAGTCGATTCTTTGTGGCCACAGTGTAGGGAAACAGTATTATGAGTTAAAACGCCAAAAATAACTTTAAAGTACATTATCATCATTTCAGTCATAGGACGTCCACTGCAGAACATAGGCCTCCCCCAATGATTTACATAATGACCGGTTGGTATGGGCCTGCATCCAGAGCCTTCCTGCCCTTTCTGCTACCTTTATGAGGTCGTCGGTTCACCTTGCGGGTGGACGTAAAAAGTAAAAGCTACTTAAAATCATGATCACAAATTAGCAAAAATAAGTTCTAAAAAAGTATACTCTCTCTGTCTCTATCTATACAGGGTGTTAGGTAAATGGGTATAGGAGCCGACACTAGCCCATGTTAACATGGACATATAAATGGTATGGTGAAGTCAGAAATTTGATGTCATCATTTAATTTTTTTTTATTTACATACAAAATTAATTTTATAAAATCCGATTTGTACGAAAATTTAAATAATTAAAATGAAGATATCAATTTTCTGACTTCACCATACCATTTATATGCCCATGTTAACATGGGCTAGTGTCGGCTCATATACCCATTTACCTAACACCCTGTATAACTCTCTCTCTCCTCATTGCTCGTTATCTTTGATAAGTAACAGTCGCACCAATCTAGATATTGTAAAATAACATCTAATCATTCGTTCGTTTCAGCCCAATTACGTCCACTGCTGGACAATGCCCTACCCGCATCCAGGCACTTCCCGCGACCTTCACCAGATCGTGGTTTCACCTAGTGGGAGGCCTGCCCACACAACGTCTTCGATATCTTTACCAATAAATAAGTAAAAATCGTATTTTCTTGGTATTTTGTCGTCTGAAAAAAGTTTTGTATTTTAGTACTCATTAAGATAGAAAAACTACGTAAATTTTTCTTCGATAAGAAGCAACTTACTCTTATTTCTATTGTATTGTAATAACGTACTCTCAAAGCAGAATTCGCCTAGAATTTTTCGAACTAAAGCGTATCGGTATACGCCCAGTGACATAGTTACGAATGAAATGCAAATATTTCATTGGAAAATAAAGGTTTGTTTGCTTTGTTTTGAAGTCTGTTTCAACATGAATCTCTGTGTTTTGTTACTTGGAAATGTTGATTAAATCAATGGTATTGGAAGAACGCATGTTTGTTTTATACTTTTTAGTAGCTATCTTCTTTTTATATCGTGTGTGTAAATTACAGCTCATATTTATAGAATCTACGAGCCGTAATGAGAGATTTAAATAACTCTAAATTCAAGATGCATTTCGAATCACAGCTCAACTTGCTTTCTGAAGCACGAAATCTTTTTATCACACTTCTATCTAACTAAATGATATTTAATCGGATGTTTCAAGCTTACCATATCTAAACTAGGAACAATAATTCCCATCAGGAAATTGAATCCGGGACTTCTAAATTAGGTACGTAAATTCGTCTCGGTACCAAGCCAAGGTCTTTACTATGCTTTACATACCCCCACATTGATGAATTGATTTCGTATCAGACAGTAGCGGGCATTGGACTTGATGTTCCTGAATTGATCATCATCATCATTTCAGCTACAGGACGTCCACAGCTGAACATTAAGCCTCCAATGATTCCCAGATTGGCCGGTTAGTAACGGCCTGCATCTAGCGCCTTCCTGCCAAAAAATACAATGAATAGTTGCGAAAGAACTCCACCACTATCACCCTCGAACGAAATAGTGAGTAAGTTTCTTGCGCTGCTTCTTCTCAGCACTGGCCCATTTATTGTCCTGAAGCAGTGGTATGGTTAATACTGGGACGTGTAAAAGTAGAATAGAATACAATATTGTTTATTTGGCACAATACACAATACATTCAATACAATCATAGAAAGAACAAAAAAGAACAAAAAAGAAAAATAAAATAGATTTTAAGTGCCCTGTGCCAAAAAGGTCCCTGACTCAGCATTAGTCGTGACAAAGATGCCACGACACTGATTTTCAGCAAGGACCTTTGGAGCACTGGGGTCGCCGTAAAAATAAAAAACAAACAAACATAAAAGATTATACCTACCACATAAATACAAACAATAAAATCATA